TGAGCCAGATCCCCGGTTAGCCCCGCTAACCTCCAAGTTGGCGCGCATCTTGGCAGCTCGCTGCTGGGCGAGTATCCGAGGGTCCTCATACTGGGCGCGATCGCACCATACCGTTGCCTTTTGTTTGCGCAAGAGAGCCACATAGCCGGATGCCTGGGGCTGGCCGAAGGAGCGGTTAGAGATGGACCGGCGAAGGTCCGAATTGGACGACGTTCGGTACGCGGCGGGCGGTTGTATGCTCGAGTTGCTGAAGGTGCTCACTGAAGGCGATCGCCGATTGAACTGCTGGCTCGACATTTGGTGCGACAAAAGCATGGGCGGGGGATGCTGAGGTTGCGCCGGGAAGACGTTGGAAGAGGTTGTCCTCGAGCGAGAGTGGCTATAGACGTTGCCCTGGTCCATTTTCCTGCTCGGCGAGCAGTAGCCTGGCTAGCTGAGAGGCACACTGCTCCCTCCCTGGTTTGTTGTTTGGAAGAGTCTGTCGGGTAGGAGGGAGAAAAGAGGATTTTGGCTTCTCAGCGGGGGGGAGGCCGCGGATCGAGTCAGTCTCGGCGCCGCGGTACCGAATCGGCCGATGCCCTCGACCGCAAGGCTGTGACCAAACAAAGAAGAAAAAGACGATGAACAAAGCTATGCCCGTGAGGATAGTCGAAGAAGAGGCGCGCACAAGAAGAGGGCCGCCGCACGAAATGATATTGGCCAAGAGGATTGCAGAGAAAAAAGGTGGGAGGGAGGGTGAGATATTTGATGTGACCTGGCGTGGAGCCTTGAGAGGTTAGCGCTGCAAGTCCCACTGCAGAGCCCAGAATGGCACCAGACGGGTAACCGCCAGGTTTTGGCCAGCTGAACCAGCCGTGGTTGGGGGGATGGCGCTAGCGGGCCTGGAGAGGGCCTGGAGAGGGGGAGGGCTGCAGGAGGGCCTGGAAGGCCAGCCAGTGGCCGAAGTGCCAGTGCCGGAGCGAGTACTTGCACGTGCGTGGAGAATGCACCCGGATTGCATGTACACTCCGTTTACAGTAAACGGGCCATCATTCGACGACACTTGACGTCAATAAGATCCATGATACTCGTACTGAACCACATCGCGAACATCCATTGAAGAGGTTCGATGATCATGATGCCGATTCGGCGAACAAGGAAGCGCCCTGCGCAGCGAGTGCTCGTACATGGGCACGCATACATGTATCTTGCTCCTTCTCGGCCACTGGCGGACCATAAATCGACCACAAAGGAAAAAAAGAACCTGAAGGAAAAAAAGAGATTGAGCGCAGAGGGGCTGGCCCCCCTCGCTAGCTGCCCCGGTGGTGAGAAACATCTGCAGCCCACGCGCGAGATGGCCCGCTTGCGACATGGCGTGTTTAGCGCTGGCACGACTAGTGTTGAGCTTACCTAGAGGATGGGATTAGTGGGAATTTGAATTTGGCATCGACCTGATGGGACAATTGCCAGCAGAAGGGGAAGAAAGAGAGTGGACAGGGGGGGGTTGTAGGCCATGAGGCTCCGGCGTCGATGATGACGATGGTGATGATGCACAGAGCAGAGCGTTGCACTCGCTACGGATGCATGTAGTTTACTAGGTCAGGTAGTATTGATGCCGTGGATGGTTCTTCACGCTTTTACTACAGAATGTAATATGTACCAAAGTAATTTAAAGTCCAAGTATTGAAAGTTCATTCAGATGTAAAGGCCGGGTACAATTAAACATCATGTCAGGGCGGTCGTCTAGCGCTGTCATATTTCGACGCTCCGTCGCATGCCACGTTTCCCCCCAAAGGACCTTGAAATTAAAAACAAAATCAAATCATCAATTGATGCCAAACAGCTTTCCCAATCAGGTGCAACTTTCCCTTGCTCTCCGTTTCATACGCCGGCCAAGGGGGGGTTTCTGATTAAAGGCCGTCGACCGCGTTTCAACAATCTCCCAGGTGAAGCGAAACAAACATCCCTCCCGCCCCCAAGAACGCCTCGGTTGCTACGTAGCAGCCCATCAGGGTGCAAAAAATCTGCCTTGCCAAGGAGTCGTCCGTTATTGTGGTTCCCAGCGTTTTCTTCAGTGGAGCGCCGTGCAGCTACCCACCGCTGATGTCACCGGCATCGCCGGGAATGAAGAGCACGGTGAACGCAAATCTTCAGGCCGATGCTACCGTTCCGAAGGGCATAGCATCGGCTCTTGGATCCAGTATCCAGCAACCGGCGTGCCTGGATCTCTTGTTGTTCGTCTTCCCGGTTCTCACCTGCAGATTAGCGCAAACGTCGGGCTGCTGATTGGGGCCAGTCTTACTTCTTACCTTACTGTACATGATACTCCATACCGTACCTATCAATACAATTGTGCAGCACAGTCAGATCTCATTAAACTTCTCGCCCACGGCGTGATGCTTTTTGCTACGGAGCATTTACTGCAGCCCTTCGGACAAGGCGAGCGAACCATTTCCCGCCGCGAGATCACACGGGCCGCCTTTTATCGATACGACAACTCGGTCGAGATGGCTTCAAGCTTCTTGTAAACTAAATTCCAGCCCCCAATTGCAGCCCAGCCCAGCCATTGCCAGGCGCCGCGCCCATTCCTCGCCCGAAGCCCCCAGTAAGACACTGCGAGAGTGGAGATGGCTCCGAGCTCCAAAATCGCGGGGGTAAATCTCACACCGGTGGGGCTGAATCGTTTCTGTCTCGCTCTCAAACACACACACAAAGGTGGGAATAAGTCAACGTACGACATGATGTCTAAACATTGATGCTCTCTTGTTCACATGCTAGACGCAGTACTGCCGATCCAAGAGAGTATCGTATGAGGCATGTCTTGCCAAGAACAGTATATTCGCCGGGCTCTGCAGGTACATGTCCAATAGAGAGTCTCATTCGTTGTAGAAGTTTCAGCTTGGGAAATAATGCCGAGAGAAGGTGCAGCGATAGTAGCAGAAAGCAATGGCGGTAAGTTATAAGTTGCTAAATACAATTGAAGGCATCCATATCTTTGTATCCTATTGCTCTGGTACTTTAAATTACAGGTACAACATTAAAGGATCCAGTGCTCTATCACACAAAGTCAGCGCCAATTGCTACTTCAGGATGCAGTGCCTCGGTCGTCATGTAGCCAAGCTCGCAACTCCGTCGCTAATGCACGATTTCCCTGTTATTCGTGTGAAAGCTGCCATTTGATGTCTTCTCCGCAATGCACTGCAACGGGATATTATCCCATTTCTCTCCTCCCTTCATGGGTTACGCGGCCGGTTTACCGTGCGTTGACGTAATTGACTTTGTCCAATTGACAGCTGCCAGATTGGCAATCGAACGATGGTTTAGACACTCTGCATTGCATGACTGTTGGTAAGCGTTCCATACTTTATGTAGTGGTTCGTTGCCGGGGCTTCGATGTGACAGGGCGTTCATCCACAGCGATGCCGCTAGATGCTTGATTGGATAGACAAAGGTTTATTAAAAGCTACCTGTAACTTTTCCCAAACTCCTCCATCCCATGGGTATAATCCTCCTTCATCCAACCTAGTTCCTGACGCCGTTATGTGATTCCCAGAAAAAGACAAGTTATAAACCCCAATGCACAGACATCCCAATCATAGACTCAGATCCGATCCTATTGCTGACCAGACGCCTACCCGAGCTGGGCCCCCGACATCTCGTTTTGATCATCAAGTCTCAAGACACCGTGCAGCAAGAAACAGAGGAAGGGTTTTTATTTTTCTTCTTTGCGTTCGATCCAGTCTGCTCAATCTTCTTCTCGACGTTTGATCCAGTCTGCTTATCAGCACAATCCTTTTGACACTCCTTACACAGGCGATCTCTCTCCTCCAGGACGGTCTTGCCATCATATTTTGGGCAATGTATCGGATTGTATAATCCTCCGGGTAACATTTGTACCTCGTTCCAATCATCGCATGAATGACTGTAGGCGTGACATTTATCCAGGAAATGACCTTGACGAACTCGGTTTTTGCGCGGTACGCTTTCTTCGTCGCATCTGTGTTCTTCGGGGCAATTGCATCTGCCACTACGAGTCTTGCAGTCTACATTTGTGCACGGACAAAAGAGGCGTTTGTGGCGGTACAGACACATGTTGTTTCTGTCGCTTTCGAGGTAATCTTTACTTGGGGGCTGTTTCTTTCTGGGTCTCTAATTCCGTGATGGCTGCCGCTTTTTTCGTGGTGCTGATTGGACTGTGACTTATATATACTAGGTACCCATCTTCATGATGCTGGGTACTAGGTATTTATATATCACAGGAGATGAGCATCAGCAAGCAAACGCTCTCACTACGTCGCATCTTCTCAAAGAAGAACGACTCTGAAGCCAACACTTTCAACACAAAATCAGTTCAATCCAATGGCTCGGTTCAATTCTACGGATCAGTTCAGTTCAATGGATATGTGGCGTTTGTTTGGCTGAAGCTGAACAGGACATGGAGGAGCGGTGGCGGCTCGGGAACAGCGTCATGTGGTGATAAGCCAAGGGGGGGGCCATTTCTGTAGCATTTGTGTCCACCGCTCTTTGATGGCAGCAAAAAGAAAGGGTCGGAGTTCATATAAATCAGGTCCGGTGGATTGGCTGAACGGCAACAACTCTTCAGCGCGAGTTCAGTATCAGAGACAGGCTGAAACTAAACAGAAACAATGAAACAGTTCAAGAACAGCAACTAAGACAGACTATCGGCTTCGAAGTTTTGTCTCATCGCTTTTAGCGTCTTGACGTCAGGGGCACCTGCTGGAAAAAGCGGGCCGCTGCCAAACCTCCAAGACAGCGGCTTCGCACGTGTCTCCACGGCGGATTGTCACAGGTCCATCCCAATCCCATCTCATTCCTGTGCCTGGAGCTTGTACCTCTCAGACATAGTCACCGAGAGCAAGGGCTCGATCGACGAATTGCGGGTGCACTTTTAGGTCGCCCCTGCGCCTTGAAGAGAGACCTGTGCACGCTTCGTCCCTGTGCTGGTGCTGTGCAGTGCAGACGAACCCCGGTCTGGCCAAGGTAGGGCTCTGCGCAACACCATGAAGTTCGCAAAGGAGCTCGAGCGCGAGGCAGTTCCTGGTAAGCGCTGAACAATTTGCTTCTGTCTTTGCTATTTTGATTGGCTGTTACTGGTTCCTCACTGTTTTCTTTGTCTTCGGCCCTTTGTTCTTGTTGCTGCTAGGTTGCCACCAACGGGAAAAGGGGACAAAGAAGAACACACACACCAAAAAAAAAGCTTGTCTGTGCAACCAACCATCGGATATCAGATTGCTGACTTTTCCCTCTCTCCCTTGTTACCAACCATATAGAATGGCGAATCAAGTATCTCAATTACAAGGCGGGCAAGAAATACGTCAAAGCTGTCGCCTCTGCCATCCAGAGAACTTCCAGCTCTACACCTCGACTTCGTAGTTCACGCCGCACCCCGACCTTTTTCTCAATAGCAGGGCCACATACGGAGCCTTCTCCCAAACCGTCTTCTCGATTCGAAAATTCTCGGCCGTCTGATGATGCCCCCAAAAGCTCGAGATGGCATGGCCAATCGGAACCGGTCGCCATCGCAGAGCAGACGGAAGATGAAGCCTTGAACAGCAATGGTAACAGTGTGGGGTATGGAAGCTTCGTACCGACACCCCCTGCGGACCCTCAGTCACTATCACTTCGTCTCCAAGGCGATGATGACGAAGAACAACAGGATGGCCGGTACAAGGACCAAAACGGCAAGCAGAGTGACAACCAGGGCGATGGCGACGACGACGAATTCGAGCTCCCTGCCCCTGCCATTTATACAACGACATCATCTCCTGGTGCCAAACAGTCGTTCAGTCCTGGAAATAAAAGTGCTCGCTTCAATTTCCACCGGTCAAACTCGTCGGGCCCCTTCAGCTCTGGAACGCTACAGACTTTGGTACCGACAGACACCGCCGATGATAGACTTCGCCGCATCTTTTCTAGCGCGAGGGAATCCGCTCGAATAACGGGCCTTCCACGCCAGAGCCTTGACCTTGTTCGGGAGCGAGAACAACAGTTTTACTCATTCCTCGACTCCGAGCTGGAAAAGGTGGAGACCTTTTACAAGAAGAACGAGGATCGAGCTGGCCAGCGGTTGGCCATGCTGCGACAACAGCTTCATGAGATGCGCAACCGGCGAATTCAGGAGATAAACAACGAGAGGACAAATCGCTCACTTTCTGGGGCCTCGAATCAACAATCTGGCGAAGGCAACCCTGACAAGGCGAGTGCCTGGATAAATCCGTTGAAGAATAAGATCTTCCCGCCCGGACCAAATTCGAAAAATTTCCAGGATATGCCTCGTACACCACATCTAACGGCCGGTAACAGGGCCCAGGCCGATCGTATGGACTATGTGCGGCGACCAGTAGAAGACGAGGTGGCATATCGCACAGCAAAAAGAAAGCTGAAGCTGGCGATGCAAGAGTTCTATCGCGGCCTGGAATTGCTCAAATCATATGCCATGCTTAACCGCACGGCCTTTCGAAAACTCAATAAGAAGTATGACAAAGTTGTCAACGCTCGACCTCCTATGCGCTACATGAATGAAAAGGTCAAAAAGGCTTGGTTTGTCAATAGCGATGTTCTGGAAGGTCACATCAAATCTGTCGAAGATCTCTACGCGAGGTACTTTGAGCGTGGGAATCAAAAGCTTGCGGTGGGCAAGCTGCGAAAGCTGCACAGAAAGCCCAAGGATGAGTCTGGAAGCTCGTTCCTTAACGGCATCCTCATCGGCACGGGAGCTGTATTCAGCATCCAAGGTCTCGTTTATGGCACTCAGCTGCTAGATGACAATGATCCGACATTGAGTCTTCAAACAAGCTATCTGTTGCAGCTATATGGCGGCTATTTCCTTATGCTCATGCTTTTCTCCCTCTTCTGCATCAACTGCTCCATTTGGCTGCGGAACAGGGTGAATTACCCCTTTATTTTTGAATTTGACCAGCGAAGTCAGCTTGATTGGCGTCAGCTCTCTGAATTCCCTTCAGCATTGCTTTTGCTTTTTGGCGTCATCATGTGGGCCAACTTTAGCAGATACGGGGGGGATGCCATGTATCTATATTACCCCGTTCTTTTGGTTGGCCTAACTGTCGTTGTTATTTTATTCCCTGCTCCTGTGCTTGCACATAAGAGCCGCAGATGGCTTGCATATTCACATGTCAGTATCTTGGGCTCCCCTGGTCGAAGAGCAACGTGTCTGCGATGCTAACCCCCTGCGATAGTGGCGTCTTCTCTTGTCTGGACTTTATCCTGTGGAGTTTCGTGATTTTTTCCTTGGGGACATGTATTGTTCTTTGACATATTCGATGGCAGTAAGTGGTGCTCGTCTCCGAACCATAATGGGGCAAAAGTTGACTGACATATTTGACAGAACATCGAACTGTTCTTTTGCTTGTATGCCAACCATTGGGATAATCCTGGGCAGTGCAACTCGACCAGCTCCCGCTTGCTCGGATTCCTAACTACACTCCCGGCAATATGGCGCTTTCTCCAGTGTATTCGGCGTTATAGAGACACACGCAACATTTTCCCACATTTAGTCAACTGCGGCAAATATACCGCCACCATATTGTCTTACCTTTATCTATCCCTTTACCGAATTCATCAGAGCCACTCTAACCTGGCTTTATTTGTGACTTTTTCGACGATCAACGGTGTATATACTTGTGAGTTGTTTTCGTTCTACCAGGCCAAGGCTGTTTGGTACTAACAGATGACGTTAGCTATCTGGGATCTGTTTATGGATTTCTCTCTGCTTCAGCCTCAGAGCCGACATACTGCTCTCCGTGATATTCTCGCTTTGAAGCACCGCTGGATCTATTACATCATTATGATTGTCGACCCTATACTCAGATTCTCGTGGATCTTCTATGCCATCTTCGCCCACGATTCGCAGCATTCTACTATTGTCTCGTTCATGGTTAGCTTCATGGAAGTCTTCCGTCGAGGCATATGGTCGCTCCTGCGTGTAGAAAACGAGCACTGCGCCAACGTAGCGCAGTACAAGGCTTCTCGCGATGTTCCTCTCCCCTATCACATCGAGCCCCTGCTGGAGCGCGCCAGCGTCGAATCCAGCCCGATAATATCGCCGGAAGAGGAGCGCCAGACGGAGCCACAGCCACCACGGCCGCAGCCTGCCGAACACCCCAGCTTCTATGACTCTGCCGCCTCTACTGCCGTTGCCGGCCGTCCGAGCGGCAGCCTTCGGCGCCGCACCGACCCCGTTCCTTCTCCCATCCATCGAAGCTTCTCTAAGATCTTGGCAGAGGCGCATAAGCAGGATTTTGAGAAGAAGCGGAAGCCTGACGACGGGGCTGGGGATGCGGCTGGTGTAGTTGGCCAAAGCGACGATTTTGACGATGACGATGACGAAGATGAAGATGATGCCGGCAGCTTGTCGGAAATGCGACCCCAGAATAGCGGGAACGCAGCTTAATGTCCGGTGCTTTGACCTTGGTTGAAGACTTGTTTTGCGGATGACTATTTGAGGTCATGATGATTGCATGGTGTGTGTGGATGGACGGATGGATGGATGGGATGAAAGCGTTGCAATATACGAGACGCGGATAATGAGTGGGATATGCTTCTATATTGAAATGGCACTTTCTAGGCAGATGTTGTTTGGCAAATTGGGGGACGCATATTCAGGACGAAATGGATTTGGATGGGAAAATTGGTGATATGGTCGCAGGGATGGGGTGCATGGTGACAGAAAAGGAGAAAAATTGAGTCGGGATGATATATACGAAATGATAATGTGTAGTGTTAGGGGGGCGGAGACACAGCATAGCGTTGAATCACATTGTTTGGAATCAATTACTATTAGCAGCATCTATCTGCTGTATCAAACTCATGAGTGACATGATTCTAATCTCATCTATATATTACTCCCCCTGCTGATGCAAAACATGCTCTGGTTTACTCTGAACATATCTAAAAATGACTTATATCCACCTACTATACCATTACTCCCATTCACCATCAACCTGCTCCCAAAAGTCGAGGAAGCCCTTGAAGAAATGGACGCCCAAGCCAGGGTCCAGGGCACCAGTGGTAGCACGGATGGAGTGCATGCTCAGCTGAGGCAAGCCGGCATCGGCGGCACGCACACCCATTGCGCTCGACAGCATGGGACCGACGGTGCCGCCGCTGTGGGAGTCGTTTCGGATCTGGAAGTCCTGCAGCTGAGCGCCACACAGGTTGGCGACGCGGTGGAGGATGGCGGAAGAGACGGCGTCGGTGGTCATGTGGGCGTTGCTGTCGCCGCAGACGACGAGGCCGACGTTGAGCTTGGGGATGTGCTCGGCAAGGTAGTTGCCGATGAAGTTGGGGTTGCCGGCGTGCGAGACGTCGGCGGACAGGAGGAAGGACTTGGCGAAAGTCTGGCCGATGAGACCAGGGCCGTAGGTGGTAGGGTTGAGGGCCTCGACGGCGCGCTCAACGGTGGAGGGCAGGAAGTTACCCCGAGCACCTTGTCTCAGCAGAGAGCCAACCTCTTCGTCGTCGAACAGGGCCACCAGCTTGATGTAGCTGTCCTCGTCTCGCTCCGTAGAGTGGAGAAGACCCAGGAGAGCGGACCACGAGCACAGCTTGTCGTCGATTCTTCCAGCGGTGATGAACTCCTTGTCCAGGCCGAAGACGGAGGCCGGCTGGGAGTCGAAAAGCTCAAGCTCCCAGTTGACAATGGAGTCGTAGGAGGTGATGCCAAGCTGCTTCGAGATGAGCCTGACCAGCTTCGGGGGCTGGGTGTTGACAAAGGCGCCGACAGAGCCAAGCAGCTCGGCGCTGGAGCTATCGGAGCTGTCTAATCCAATGATGGGGACAGCCTGCGTCTCCGCGTTGTTCTGGCCCATCATGCCGACACCAAAGTGCGGCGCCAGCGTGGGGATCTTGGCAATGGGCCAGTCCAGCTGGACGAGCTTGCTAGAGGTCTTGCCCGTCTTCTCATCGCGCACAATGACTCGGCCGCCGATGCTCAGGTCTCGATCCCACCAGGTCTGGTTCAGGGCGCCGGCGTAGGGAGCAACACCGAGCTGGACGTAGCCGGCCGTGGTTGGCTTCTTGCTGACGGGCTTGAGTCGGGCTGTCAGGGCGTCGATGTGGCCGGCAATCATGCCAACGCCGTTTCCGGGCTTGTAGGACTTGCCGACGGCAAAGGCGATGATGGAGCTGCCATTGCGAGTGACCCAGTACTTGCCGCCGGGCTGGATCTTGTCGGACCAGGAGTCGCGCGCGGGGAGCTAGGAGTTTGTCAGCGTTTGATCTTGTACTACGGGGGGTCGGACTTGGAGGTGTCACGAGACATACCTCTACGTAGCCAGACTGGCGCAGCTTGGTCTTGAAGTAGTCGACGGTGTGGAAGACGGTCGGGTTCTCGCGCAAGAAGTCGCAGAAAGGCTTGGTGAAGGCCTCGGGCTTGAGGTCCCTGACGGCGCACAGCTTGCACTTGTTCTCCTCGTCAAGGTGCCAGTTGACCTGGCTAACCTCGTTCGGAGAGAGCTTGGAGATGCAGTTGATGCAGGCGCGGTTGTCGAGAGGCGGGCGACCGTCCATGTCTGCGAGAACAAAGTGCTTGGAGGCGGCCAGGGGAGAGGCAGCTTGCTGAGCGTGAGCCGAGGTCGGGATCGGGATCGGGGCAAACGAGGAGGAAGCGGAAGACGAGACGGAGAGGGTGGACTGGGCCTGAGCAGCCGCTTGTTGTCGGAGGGACAGAGAAGAAGGCACGCGCCGTGTCATGGTTGCGACGAGAACGAGGGAAAAGGAGGAGAGGAGAGAGTTTGAGGGCGAAGGGCGCGTTAAAAGGCGGTGCGAGAGAAGAGGTTGGGGATGATGAGCGTTGAGTCGATACGGAGATGCGCGCATGTCTCCCCGGATTCGGATTGGGGCGCAGCAGGACAGTAAGCTGGGGTACAGTCCGATAAGCACGGGGGCCTTTTGTGGCGCCAGGGGCGGGAACCTATCGGCGGTGACCAGAGGGGGGGATTAGGGGATTTACAGCGGATAAGGCGCCATGGGTACCAGGGCCAGGGGTGACTTTTAGTACCTGTACTGTGCACATCATACATAGCATTATCCCATATTTTACTCTTGGGCTAGGTGGTGTCAATGGTAAAGTCTTGATATTATTACATATGGATGCCTAGTAAATAACACTCAAGAAGAAGGTCTAAGAAGATGACATTTGTTCCTTTGGCGGCTACTCCTATGGCCACGGTATTTGACCTTTGATATCAGCATGTAGATTCTTAGGTACATTTTCCCCTTGTAACGCATCAATGTTCCAAGTACCATCTCTACCTGTATTCATCAATCTCAGGTATCTGTAGTAACCAAATATCTCCCAGCAAATGACCACAGATGCTACGCTCATGTTTCCTCTCTTTCCATAGATAAAAAACCAGGTGGTAGTACGTGCGCCATCTATCCGCATCCCATGAGAGACGTAATTCCTTGAGCATGGGAAATTGGCACTCAAGGAAGAGCACAGCTTCGAGGATACTAGGATTGCTGAACTCCCACGTTAGTCACATATTCAATTCCAATAACTCAGGTGGATGTAGGTACATGTATGATGAGGATAGGTAAAGCATCTACATACTAAAACGTACCTGGGAATATCATTGCGACCGTCGACTGTCTGGGTAAAACGTAACGTCCTAAGCCGTGGAAATAAGGCGTCGCCATTACAGCCATCAGAGAATACGTCGTCAAGATTGATCTCCTGACTGGTCTCGCAAAAGTCCAAGCTCCGACAATGACGACCAAGAGATAACAACCCCTTGGTAGACAAATTGGCACACACCAGGTTCAGTGACAAGTGGCGAAGATCTGGCCATTGAGAGGCAACCATCTCACAGTCATTGTCTGAGAAATCAGTCTCTATGGCGATGGGGAGATCAGAATAGTTTTGCGGCCCAGGTTTCATGATTAGAATTTGAAGCTTTGAAAGAGCACTCAATGCCGTTATTGCTGCCGCCGAAATGCGTATGGTTTTCCTGAATGCCAACGATAAAGTGGTCAAGGCCGTCAACCGCGCGATGTGCCATAGCGCAGCAGAATCCGGATCTTCCAGCGTTAGGTCAAGCGACGTAAGATTTCTCAATAGAGGTACAGCCCCTTCGATGGCCGCTGCTGTAGCAGCCAGATGTAGAGATTCAAGTGTGGAAAAGGGCGTAAATATCATATCATCTTTTGCGATTGTAAGCTGTTCTACCGCAGAAGCTGGCCAGCTCCATGGAAGATTCAAGGTGGTTACACACTTGCTCTGTGCCAAGTGAAGAAGAAGATCGCCGCTTATAACGCCGCTGTTAGCAAAGCGTATTAGCCCATTAGAGACAATAACCTCTTGCAACAATGGTAGGTGCTTCAAAACATCCAAAATAATCTGGGGTGTGAGTCCTATCCACAGTTCAAGATGTATCGACTTTATCTTCGGACAATTGCGCAAGCAGCCTATGGTAGAAAGGTTGATGAATACACCAAGAAACGTGACTTTGCGTAGCGATGGCACGCAGTATAGCTCCATCTCTTTGACATCTTGACTATTGCTGAAAACGGCCAGCTCCCGTAATCGGTGGAATTCGAGGTCCTTAAATGCGTTGTAATATCTTCTCTCACTAGTGTAATCAAAAGAAATGGTAAGAAGCTTGGAGGCATATATCTGTTGTCGGTCCTTTGGCACTCGTAAAAGGTAGCCCATAGCTTTTGGACTTGTCCATAACCTTTTTATCCCGCACTTGAACCAGAATCGATTTACTTGGACAGCTTTGGACAAGGTCTCCAAGTCCTCTGCATCTAAACAGAATGAGAATATTATGTCGAGGATCTCGGGTATACACAGGGCTTTGGCAGTGGAATCGAACCGTTTTGTCGCCGGAGAAGAAGCAGTCGCTGGAGTGTCTGCCATATTGCATAAAAATTAGCAGGTGGAGTGGAAAAGGTTGAAAGATGTATTAGTCGGCTCTTTCAAAAAGTTCATAGCCTGGGATTATCGTTACCTTTTATATCTGAACGGATTAACAGGAATGAATTATCGGACATGGGATTTCCCAGGCTTGAAGCTTGTTGCACTGGGTTTGAGCTGTATCTGTACGGGTAAGTTGCTCTTTCTCGGGTTTCTGGCGCCAAAAGTTTGAAGCTTCAACTTGTAAATAGGGGCTATGTTTACGATAAGGATAATAAGGCCGGCAAAAGTGATGGCAGGTTCAGCAAAAGACTAAACGCCTTACGGTGTAAACTTCAGAATCATCTCTCGGCTCAAATTAGTGGAAACAGCCTATCGATGAAACTTTGAGAGGTCCTGGCCACGGCACGGAGGGAAACACATAAACTTCGACTTTTATACACATAGACTTTGGCTTTTATATATTATAATTTATACATCTGTAACCTTGTACTCTTAGTGTGGCTCGGCCCTCTAAAATTTGATTTGGGAGC